AAGCAGATGGCTGGTCGTGCTGGCAGGAAAGGAGTGGACACAGTAGGTAAGTGAGTTTGAATTTAATTGTAGCAGCATTGCTGAAGGACAGTGTGTACTTGAAATTTGACTAATGCCTGGCAACCTGTTTCTCATCATGCTATATTTCTTTATTATCCAGTGCACTCATGTCATCATTTTGGATTCACTTAATATTTGTAGTGAGTAAGAGTTATAATTTTCATATATATATCATCAACTGTTGATTTTCTACAAATGTTGAATTAAGGTTTTCTTTTGTATTGTATACCATAAAATGATTTAGTATTATGTAAATCAAGATGACTTATTATTACTTAGCTGGAACATGATTTTTAATTTCTAAGTATAGTCTACTCTTTAGCACTAATTAATTTTCACAGACGTTAGTTCAACTTAGGTGACTGGTCTCAGAAATCAGACAAGGATGGTGGGATGCACCTTCACACTTCGGGAATAGGAACTTGACATCCCATCTTTTTTCTTGAAATCGGTGCTGGCTCTGAAAAAACACCTTTTCATTTTCTTACCTTGTACCAGCAAGTTATGATTTTTTTTTTTTTTTTTTTTTTACCAGCAATCCAAACAAAAGTTTTGTCTTAAGCAGTGAGGAAGAGGTTTGTTTGAATTAAATGTCAAAGCGGCAGCAAACTTTATTTCTAATGTGCTGTATCGTTATATGTGTAACTAAATCATTATCAGCCATCTAACATTAAAGAACCTTGGCAGGAACATTCCCTGCCACTTTCCACTCTAGGACATAATTGTTATCTTTCTACCCTGGGACATAATTGATTCCAATATTTTATTAGATATGTCAAAAAAAAAAAAAAAACACAGGCAAACAGTTCTGTGGCTACTGAAGAGAAATCAGGAAATCCAGGAGAATACAGACAGTGGATAGGAAATGGATATTCTAGGCAGAGGAACCTGCGTAGTACACTGAGGAAGTAACTTTTAGAATAAACTGACTTGTCACATGAAGTCCCCAAATATGTCAGTTCTCATTATTCATGGATTCCATATTTGAATTTTCCACCTTAACAGAATTTATTCAGAATCCTGAAATAATACCTCTGGGGCTTTTGCGGACGTATGCAGATCTGCGAAAAATTTGAATCTTTCCAAGCACACTTTCCCTGCTGCGGTTGAACAAGCCAAAGCTCTGTGTTCTTGTTTCAGCTCTTATACTGTGAGCAAGCTTCTTTTTAATGGGCTAGTTAGTGCCACAGTTTTCACATTTTTGTGCTTTTAGTCGGTGATTTTGCAGTTTAACATGACCCGCAAGCAAAGTACTGAAATGCTATCTAATGTTCCCTAGTGCATTAAGGCTGTGATGTGCCTTATGGAGAAAATATGTGATCAGTTTTCTGTAGGCATAAATTACAATGCTGTTTGCTGGAGCTCAATGTAAACAACTGTATACATTAAATAAGATATCTTTAAACAGAAACATGCATAAAACAAGGTTTTGTATTGATTAAGTGATGAAAACGTTTTTACTAGAGGCTTGCAGGAACCTAATCATCTATCTTCCTTGGCAGCAAGGGTTCAGTATTCTGTGTTCGTGGCAAGTTTATAGAACATGACTACCACAAATACTAAAAATTGACCATAATTTATCGGTAACTGGATTAGTTAGAATATAAATTCACTGCTGTAACAAAAACCAGTACAATAGGTGTTTAACAAGATAGACATTAATTTCTTTCTCATATAACAGTAAAATTGTATTCTAGGCCTTATATGACATAACTGTAATTTAGGCCTTATATGACAGCTATAGTGTGTCGGGTACCTAGTCTTCTATTTTGTTTTAACATTTTCAGCAATATAGTTTCTATCCTTGGTATAAGATGGCTAGTCTCGTCTCTCTCATCACATCTGCATTTCAGCCATCAGGAAGGGGAGATAAGGAAGCAAAGAGGCCACTGCTCAGAAGTTGCACATAGTATTTCTCTTCACGTACAGTGGGCCAGAACTTTCACATGGCTACATTCCCCAACTTTCACATGGTTGCATTTCACATGGTTATATTCCCCAAGAGAGGCTGGGAAATATAATCTTTAGCTTGGGTGGCCATGTGCTCAACTAATACTTAAGAAGACGCGAATGGCTATTGGAACAGCTTTCAGTCTCAGCCCCAATAATAAATGACTCATTTACAATCCTGAAGGGCATTGGTCTGCCTTTCTTTTAAGCCCTGAAAATTTTGATGATTAAAAAAAAACCAACAACTTCCAATTTGTTGGATTTTTCCTACAGCTGACATCAGAGAAGTTTATCCTGTTTCTCTCTTACTTTACCTACAAAATATGCAGATTATATGTATATGCTTAGAAAGAGTTGGGGGAAGAGAGTGAGATTCTTCCTTCCCATTCCTATTTGCCTACCTCTGCCCATCCTCAATTCTCAGTGGACTCAGACCTCTGGGGAATGGAGTATAAGTCCATTTTACACAGATAATCTTCTCTCAGGGACAGAGGGTCTCTTAGTTAATGTAGAAGATAAGGAGAAATAAGAAATAAGATGAGTTCTTATTTGCCTTGTTATGTTCTTAGCTTGTATATATTATGGGAAAGAACAATTGGAAGGTTAGTGCCCTGGGATAATTATCAAGCCTTAAATCAGATAACATTCAAACAGAACTAAAATATACGTAATGAGTTCATTTCTGAGGTCTTAAAGACTTCCAAGCTTTTGACCTTGCATATCATTGTATTTCAGGATGTCATATGACTTGCTCATAACTTCAAGCTAATCAAGAATATAGGAATATAGTGTTTTATATTCACTATGGAGATTTAAATACTTGGTCATGCTTTTTGTATCATGTAGCATCATTGGAAATTCTGTGCATTTTATAAGTGATATTCCTGGATAGCACATGGTGTTTTATTTAAATGACACTTCAGTCTTTCCATAGACGACTTAGAATCTTCCAGCTTAGGAAGATAGTGCTTTGTGCCAAAATAGCAATTTGCAGGTTCAGCAGTCAGTAATAAATTATTTGATTCTAAATAATTTCGACTTCCCTCTTGTGATGTGGATGAGTCCTCCCCAGACAGGTGGTTGCAGGAACCTGTACATATATACTGATGTTCATCTGGACATTTCATAAACCTTGCCCATTCAGAAAAAGCGCAGTTTGTTTTGTTGAAGAATCAAAGCCGCAAAAGACCTTTAAACAGGCCAAAGTGGCTTGTGTATCTTGCTGCTAATGCTAGTTGATTGTTTTCTTTCTTAAGCTGAGCTGTTTTGTAGCCATTGCAAAAGCCAGTTGTTATATTCATGTGATTTTTAAAAATTGGATATTGACAAATTATAACTGTGTATATTTATGAGGCACACAGTGATGCTATCTGTATACAATGCAAAATGATGGAATTAAGCCAATTAACATATCACCCCCAAATACTTATCATTTATTCTTCCTGTCTAACTGAAACGTTGTACTCTTTGACCATCTTCTCATCCCTCCAACTCCCTAATCTCTCTCTCTTCTGCTTGATTTAAGCCTGCTGCTAAAGCTTTCATTGCATTTTTCAGTTCAGTCATTGTATTCTTCATCTCTAAGATTTCTCTTTCTTTTTTATTGTTTCTATTTCTTTGTCAAACTTCTTGTTTTGTTTGTATATTGTTTTCCAAATTTTATTTGACTTTTTATCCATATATCTTTGTAGTTCGTTGGACTTTCTTAGGAGAATTATTCTGGATTCTTTCTCATTTCACAGATCTTCATTTCTTTAGGGTTCATTGTTGGAACTTTGTTAGTTTCTTTTGAAGGTATCTTGGCTTCCTGGTTCTTTGTAATCTGTGTTCTTGTGTTGGTATCTGCACATTTGAGGAGACAGCTATCTCTGGCTTTTATAGGTGTTCTTTGACAGGGATAGAACTTCAGTTGTCTAGCCTTTGATTCTGAATAGGCCAACTGATAGCAGCCCTGAGCAGGCAAAGCTTGCTTTTGGCTTCTCTAGATAGTCGGGCTGCTGCCTTTGCTCTGAGTTTGGGTGGGACTGCTGGCTGGGTTCTGTATCAGGTGAACCCACTAGCTGAGCTCTACAATCAGACAGAGTTGCTCATTTGGCACTGCAGTCACCTCTTGGCTGGGCCCCAGAGTGTATTCCTTGGCCAGGTGGTACCCCTATTTGAGATCTGCACTTGGACAGTGTTGCAGGCTGGGCCCCGAGGTTAGGTGGAGTTGCTATTCTGGACCAGTGGACCAGCTGCTATGCTCAGTGGAAATGCATGATTGAGCATGGTGGCTCATGCCTGTATCCCAGTGACTTGGGAGGCTGAGATGGGAGGATCGCTTGAGCCCAGGAGTTTGAGGCTTCAGTGAGTTATGATCATGCCACTGCACTCCAGTGTGAGCGACAGAGATCCCCCCTTTAAAAATAAAATAAAATAAGTGCATATCTGAGGTTTGCCTCCCTGCCTAGGTGGGGACTTGGAATGGGCTTTGAGACTGAACTGAGGGCTGTTTAAACTTCCACCCGTATGGCAGAACTAGTCCCTGCACTTTGCAAAAATACACTATGATAGGCATCTTCCACCTGGGGCAGGTCCTTGAGGCTGAGCTGAGCACTATTTAAAACCCCAGGTTTGGCAGAACTAGCCCCTGCTCCTTTCCAACATGCACTGTGATGGTCATCTCCCTTCCTGGGCAGGGTCCTCATGAGGTTTGATGCTGGGCCTGGAGGCTGGCCATCTAAAGATTCAAGCCAGGTAGAATTTCCTACCACATCTGGAAGTGATCAGTTTGGCTTTGTGGTGGGCTACACTGTTAGCTGGTACCTGTGATTGGCACCACCACTGGCAGGTACACAGAGCTACCACCAAGATCTGCATGCCAATTGCCATGAGCTCTGCCTCCTTGCTTTGCTTCTGCCTGACCCCAGGTGATCTAGCTGTGCTGTTACCCAGCATGTTCTCTGTGAGGTGAGACTAGAGTTGGCTTCTTGGGAAGCCTCTTGAAATGCTAGGGAAGCTATATGTTCTCTGGTTCTCTTTTCCCAATGTAGAAGCTATGAGCCCTGGGGATTCCTTTCTGTGTGGTACTATGTTGACTTAGGGGAGTGGAAGGGGTGATGAGGTCAAAGTGAGATACTTTCTCATACTAGATCTTGCAATTTTTATTCGGTTTTGTGGTCCATGCATAAGTTTCAGACTTTTTCCCAAGTTTTTGGGTTTTTTTTTTTTTTTTTGGTTATTGTTGTTTGTTTTTTTTTAGACATGGAATTTTGCTCTTGTTGCCCAGGCTGCAGTGCAATGGTGCAATCTCAGTTCACTGCAATCTCCACCTCCTGGGTTCAAGCAATTTTACTGCCTCAGCCTCTCAAGTAGCTGAGATTATAGGAATGTGCCATCATGTCCGGCTAATTTTTGTTTTTTTAGTAGAGATGGGGTTTCACCATGTTGGTTAGGCTGGTCTTGAACTGCTGACCTCAGGTGATCTGCCCACCTTGGCCTCCCATAGTGCTGGGATTATAGGCATGAGCCACCACGCCTGGCCCCCCCGCTTTTTTTTTTTGAGGTGAAGTTTCACTCTTGTTGCCCAGGCTGGAGTGCAGTGGTGCAATCTTGGCTCACTGCAACCTCTACCTCAAGGGCTCAAGCGATTCTCCTGCCTCAGCCTTCCAGGTAGCTGAGATTACAGGAATGGGCCATCACGCCTGGCTAATTTTGTATTTTTAGTAGAGATGGGGTTTCACCATGTTGGTTAGGCTGGCTGTTTTGTTTTTTTACCATGTTGGTTGCCTGGCTGTTTTGTTTTTTTAATGGTGCCTATCTTTATAATCATTTCTGGGATAAATAGCCAGTGATCATCGAGTTTATAATCCCTTTACTTTATCCTATTTTGATTCTCAGTTTGGCAGTTGGGAAGGATAATCTGTACCTTCTCTTTGCCGGGGGTGGTAAGGATATTCCAGCATTGTGCCAGTTTTATTTTTATTAAGAAAAAAACAGTATTCTTCATTTGTGTTTTTGAACCTCTTACCTGTTTTCTTTCCCACAGTATTGGATTCATTTTTGAAGAAAAATTATGATTCTCTCTAGTCATAATTGTTGCAATGATAGTTTGTTCAAATCGTATAGTTGTATACAGTTTTAATATATAAGTGCTCTCATGTATTTTTGTTCATTTGGTTGTCACAATAAAGCATTTAGATTAGTAAATGTTGTAATATTTCCTAATTTTGGGTATCTACAAGTATTTTGGGTATCTACAAGTATTTTTGAATTTATTTTATCATATAACTGGTAACAATTTACATTTGCATTTTACTTTATAGGTTTGAAAGTACCTCTATTACTTACTTCATTATTCAATAATAATGGTTAATCCTGTAGGGGAAGAAAAAGACTTTTCCTTTACTTTCTTGGGTTCTGCAGTTGGGACCTGCTGATTACATTAACAGACAGATTAACAGGAGACAAGGCATTTAAACTTTATTTGATGCTAATCTTTTAATTTTTATGTACATGGAAGCCTTTATAGAAAAGGATTGAAGACCTGAGAAACTGTTAAACCTGGGGTCTTATATAACATTTTAACAATGGACGGTAAATTGTGGAGAAGTGACAAGAAAAAGGAAAAGGTATCTGGGCTTTTAAGGGCAACAAATAGTGAGAAGGTAAATATGTGGGGGAAACTGATGGAAGATAGAAGTTATTTTAGTAGGTAGAGTTTGTTTGTGCAGACGCATCTCAGTGCTGATCTGTCTCCAGTGATAAGTAAGGGTTGTTGTGTTGTATGGGAGAGGGGAGGGAAAACATCATCACAAAGGGAAAAATTTATTCTTGCTTTTAGGCAGGTAGGGAGAGGACAGAGGACAAAGAGTTCTTTCTGTGTTTGCTGCCTCCCAAAGGCCTTCAGCTCAAAATAATCCTTATGCCAAAGTGGCATAGTTTGGAGTAGCATATTCTGATCCCCTTGTGTCCAGAGTTCAAAAAAATAGCCATAATTTTATTACCATAACAACCACTATCATCTCTTGTCTCCTTTTAAGCAAAGTAAATCAACTTAAAATCTCTTTAGCAGATATCTTATGGAACTATATTGGGATTTTGCAAATGCATATCTTTTGGTTATAGGCGAGAGTATCTTAATTTGTAAGAACTCTGAGAAATCAAAAGGGATAGCTCTCCTTCAGGGTTCTCTAAAGCCTGTTCGCAGCTGTCTGCAAAGACGAGAAGGAGAAGAAGTAACTGCCAGCATGATACGAGCTATTCTGGAGGTAAGAGAGAGTTTGCTAAATTACCATTTGCTCTTTTATGCCTAAATTAAAGTGGTAAAATATTAGTATATGAAACTCTTAGGTTTATTTCTTTTTTAAATTTATTTTTGGGACAGAGTCTCACTCTGTCACCCAGGCTGGAGTGCAATGGCATGATCTTAGCTCACTGCAACCTCCGCCTCCTGGGTTCAAGAAATTCTCCTGCCCCAGCCTCCCAAGTAGCTGGGATTACAGGCACACACCACCATCCCCGGCTAATTTTTGTACTTTTA